TTATAAGAAAAAAAAAGATAAGTGAACTCAAAGACACAGTGGTAGAAACTATCTAAATGAGTCAAAGGGTTAGGGGGGAAAAAAGCCTGAAAACTATTTCAAGAAACAATGACCAAAAAAATTTCGGAGGGTCATTAAAACCATAAGCCTCATATTTAAGAAGCTCAAAAAATTTAATACACAAGAAATGTGAACAAAACTACCTCAGTACATAAATCATAACCAAATAGAAATAATGCAGAAAGAGTCCAATGTGTCAGCATCTTTAATGTTGTTTCCTTAGGAAAGTATCTTTCAGAAAGGAAGGCAAAATAAAGTTTGTTCCAGAGGCCCATGAGCTGGCAGAACTTACCACTAGCAGCCTCCCATTATTTAACATGTTACGGGAATTCTTTTAGATAGAAGGAAATTGATGCCAGATAGAAACGAGGATCCACACAATGGGATGGAGAGCAGGGCTGACTCCCCGGGTATGGGAACCATATAGTTTTATTATACAAGTAGCAGTTTTCTGAAACATCCTCTGCTTGGTTTCATGTTCAGCAGTCCCCGTCTTTACATTTTTAATAATTTCAAACAAGGGGCTTTACACCTACAGCATTTAAAGTGATCAAGTCATATTCTCAAAGAATGGGCGCAAAATGAGCAAGTTTCCTTTAGAAAACTTTCTTTTTCTTACCACACCGTCATGGGGTTAGATTATTGTGGAATTTCCCCGGAAAGGTAGAAAGTAAATCATTGACGCTGAGGAAACCTGGCATACCATCCTGACAGCCCTACTTGAATGTAAGCACAGTTTCCGAAGTAGTTAGGCAAGAAGCAAATGACGAACTAATCAATTGACTGCTGCAAAAGTAATTCCAAATGCCATCCATTGGAGATGAGGAACAGCTTTCACAGGATGCATATGGGTGTTGCTGCTTTAGCTATGTTATAACTCCTACCCAGAGGTATTAAAACCAAACCCTGTATTGGAATTTTAGAAACAATCCGGTATTATGAGCAGAGATTTAAGAATGCATTGAAATCTGAATTTTTTCAATAAGAGCCTTGGCCATTATTAGTATTGCAGGGTACACGAAGCCTGGGCTAGAATGATTTCCGTGGTAAATAATGGTAAAGTCAATGGGAAGAAATTAATTGCAGGTTCTACAATGAGGTTCACGAGTTAATGAATTGAACAGTGTTCAGAGTTATTTGGGTGTACCCAAGTCCCTTTAGTAGACACACAGAGATAAAAGAAATTAACATTGTTCTTTACAATGTTAATATCTTTTTTATTGTCTAGAGAGCAAATATCAAGTTATTTACATGGCCCTTAGCTTATTATTTTTAATTTCATAATTAATCTATACACATTTCAGGGAGTAAATATATTCCCTTCTATCTAAAATTTCTCCCATGCAGAGCTGTTGAGGTTGTTGGTAACAGTTAGAAACATTCGTCAAACTGGCTAGTACCATATGCTGAGCCTGAGAAAGCTCTGAGAGGAAAATAAATAGTGGACCTTTGAACTGCTAACTAGTCATTAATTCCCTTAACAAGCCTTCGGAGGGACAGTAACTCAAAGCAATGGTTCATGAGGATAACATCTGCAGAGGGAACAATATGCCCACAATCTCGCCTAACATGTTCACATTTTAACACTAAAATGTCAATAGAAAGGTAGGAATGTGATGTTATTACCCATAGTGGCCAAGACCGGAGCACATCAGTCAACACCAGAGTCTAAATGTGAAGCCCAGGCTCCAGAGCTAAAAGGGTCAATTGTTGGCCCAGATTTCACGCTGGAATTTGAGACAGGCCCAGGCCTACAAAACAAGCTGTGCTTCCTGCCTTAACTGTTTCTCTGTGTTAATGGTGAGATTTCTATTCTTTTGTCCAAACCCCTTATTTGTTTATTCAAAGACATCAATATACACTACAAAAAAAAAAGGTCTTCAGGGGCTTTCCAAAGATTATAGCTTCAAATACACATTTGTATTATTCAAGTCAAAAAATCTGGACAGTTTCATACCTTCCTAGAAATGGGTTGCACAAGCTTGTACTTACGAGACTAATAACAGCACATTTACATTGGGTGTTTCATCACTATGACATAATGATGCTTGTGTTATTGTCATACCTATAGTCAGTCGGCTTGTTCTCTGTTCTCTTGCCTCTACCAGCTGACCTCTGCACCTCTGACAGTTGGAATTTGCCTTTCTGTCTTCATTTGACAAGGAGAAAAAGCCACCGGAACTGTGTGGCTCCCTTTAAATCAGCTCCTCACTTCAGTGATCCCAGATGGAAGCCATCAACTAGTTATAGTGATCTATGATGGGAACCACTCTCTATACTTATCTGGGATGGCCACCAGTCACTCCACAGTGATCCCAGATGGAAGCCATCAACTAGCTATAGTGATCTATGATGGGAACCAGTCTCTATAGTGATCCAGGATGGCCACCAGTCAGTCCAAAGTGATCCCAGATGGAAACCATCAACTAGCTATAGTAATCTATGATGGGAACCAGTCTCTATAGTAATCACGGATGAGAATCAATCACTCCACAGTGATCCCAGATGGAAACCATTAAGTAGCTATAGTGATCTATGATGGGAACCAGTCTCTATAATGATCACGGATGAGAATCAATCACTCTCCATGGATCCCTGATAGGAGTTCTCTAAAGGTCTTCACTTTAATTCAGGATTACGGTAGTTCCCTGTATCAGCCAGGAAATGACAATTTACGGGTACTCAATACTGTATTAGTTGAGCCATACACTACGTAAGGGACCACCCCATACCTCTCTTTATTAGTTCAGATAAACAAAGGTCTTACTTTGTCTTCTCTTTTTTGATAGAAGAGTTTTGAATTTGAGAGTACTCAAAAGCTTTGCAAGCCACAAGGCACACCTTTCCCTTCTCACATTAAAAAACCCTTAACAACCCCAAGCTCCTCAAGTGAAATGCCCAGCTCTAGGAGCTATTTTTGTTTTCTAATTCTACATCTAAAGACTCAGTTTGCTTCTTTCCCCCTTCACAGTATGCATGTCTGTTGCGATAAATGACTTGCAAAGTCTTCCCTTGTAGAGTGTGAACTTCCCATACAGATGCTACAAAAAAATTTAAATCCAGTGAGTTTACTTTACGGAAAACATACTGCATTGATGGTAGACACTCAGGCGGGGTAGAACACAGCGAGTATGCTTTCAAACTTTGAGGCAATACTTACAACTTGAACTTCTCCCTGGATCTCTAAGTCAGACAGTAATTTAGGAAGTGCAGCTAAAAAGAAAACTAAAGAGGTAACATAGGCACAAAGACATATATATATATATTCTTCTGTTTGAATTCAAAGGTGGTTATGATTAGTCTTTAGTCCCAGTAGCAATCCTTCCAGCATTAGTGACCTCCCTGTTACCCAACACGAGGGTTACAACAGAGTCTTCCCAGAAGCCATCCTGCTCACTGGGAAGTACCGCTGATGCCAATCAGGTAAACAACTCACATGCTACTTCACATCAACAACTTCAGTAGAGAACAACTGTATTCTGAGGGTATTGTATAGGACCAGTTTTCAAGTTATACTCTTAAGCAGGATACATTTCAACTTGGAAACTGATTTGGCCGATCTATGGAAAGTGGCCTTGTTCACAAGTGCCTAGAAAAGAGACGATCATTAAATCTCATAGAGAATTGAAGTCTTTGCCCATTGCAACCAAAACCTGAGGCAGCTTTGATCTGTTCCTTACTACGCAGACTAAGAACTAGAGCTTCAGGTAGTGGCTTTCTTCTGATAATGATAGCTTTTTGGGAGGGGATGAAAAGCAAAAAGTTAGGAGTTACTCATAGCAAGTGAGAGCCAACATTCTATTAACTTCGTGTGATTTTTAGACTCAAGAACAATTTGTGTAAAATGTTCTAGGAAAGGTGTTATTTTTAAAGATACATTAAAACAGCAAAAGATAATTAGCTAAGAGTAATAATGCTCATTAAAATAATTAATGGCATGTAATACGTAGAAACCGGACTCTGGGACAGAAAGGAACATAAAATGTAGAAGAAAGAGAGCTAAGAAGAATCAATAATAATTGTTGGCTTTATTTCACTTCGCAAATGCCTCCCCTCCCACAATCATTAGACTAACAAGCTAAACAACCCTCTAAAAGAGTGATTTATCACTGTATTTTTTAAAGAAACATTTACAATGCTCAGACATAGCATAAATGCACAGAATCATTTTATGTTGCCTTTTTATTTTATTCCTTCACTAATTAGTACTTAGAAAAAAAATGAGAGTAAGAAGGAAGTGAGGAAGAATCAGAATCACAAAGACAGTTGATCTCTATGGACTTGAGTATATGGCAACATATGTTGGCCAGCGTTTATAGAAAATTTATGCCAAGTGTATGAATAAAACAGAGACAACATATGATTGGACGCCAACTCCAGGAGATAACATTTTGATGATTACAGCAACCTGTTTAGCAAGAGCAGAAGCCGTCCCTTCAAGCATGGGGTTTGAATTCTAATTAAGGAATGAAGATAAGGAAACATGACAGAGTGCTAAAAAGAATGTGATTAAGAAACAAAAAAGAGATAATTCTGGCTTTTAATAGTGAACAGGGGCAAAGATCAGGCTGGGAGCTTATTTTGCCATCACATCCATATTCTAAACTGACAAGATTTCCTAAAATGGAAAACCCAGAACTTCTTGGAAGGTTTGGTTAGATAATGCAAAAAGCCCCAGGGTCCTCTCTTTGTATCTCAGTCCACCATCTCAAAACGTCAAAAGACAATGACCTCAGAGTTAATACACACACACACACACACACACACACACACACACACACACACACACACACACACACACACACACACTGATTTGTAAATCCTTATTAGATGTCCAAACAGTCACAAAGAAAAAGAATTCTCTGAATTCTCCATCTGCAATCAAATTCCCTTCACATCAAAAGTCAAACAGTGAAGGTCTCAGAAAGAGAGTGACTTACATTGATAAGTTCACCCTCCCAGAGTTTCTTCAGCAGGTCCATCGACGTATAGCCATTAATGAGGAAGGCTTTGGTGTAGTCACCCAGCTCAATGGAATCCAGCCACTCAGCTACAGAGGTGGGATGGTAGCCATCGTGACCAATGGGTCTCATCTGTAATTAAGAACAATACGTTAGAGATGACTTAAACCAGTTCCCTTCTGTTCCAACAACAGGAAGCATCTTGCCACTTGCAAATTAATCTGTTATAAGGCATCAGATATTTCTGGATAGAGAAGTAAGGAAAAAGAAAAAAAATGCTTTATGAACCGTTTTAAATCATTAGTAATTTTCACGCTGAATTAGTTTTCAAAAATACACCCAGAAATTTCCAATTTAGCTGCTAAATGAACTCTGTGTTTGAGATGATGAAACATGTCAAACTTCTGTTAGAGACTTTCTTGGTATTTCTGCTGGCATGGGATTGCAAGGGATGTCAGCTGAGTCGCCAGGGTTCCATGGGGGAAGGCAAAAGGGACTGCCGTTTCAAAATAGAGATGGTAATTCTCATATGCACAACATCAAAGTGTGTGAAAATACTGGGTGACTCAAACATTCCAATGGCATTCACGCTTATGCAAGACATGTATTGTAGGTAGCGCATACACGCTGGAGAGACACACTGCTGTGGCAAGCCAGTTAAAAAGAGGCCTTGAGTGCTTCAAGACCATGTGTTCTGCCTCAGCTCTACAGTATGTTAGACATGAATAGGGAACTTGCTGGCAGACAGGCTTCTATTTTTTGTCAGCTATATACAGATTTTTTTTTTTAATACTTCAGGGGAACAAAGAAGTATGACAGCGACATAATGTTTCTGAGTTTAAATTGGAATGTGAAAATAATTTCAGCAGGAAGAACTTCTGGGTTAAAAGATTTATAGGGATTCTTCTAAGTCCTTTAGTCTTTATTTGAAATCTGAGCTGAATTCAGGGTTCTTGTACTGGACGCGACTCACTTCTGAAACTCCGGTGCCCCTGATGCTAGTTGCAGGGTTGGTACTGGAGTTCCTCAGGAGCGCTGCCCGCTCATCAGCATTCAGCAAAGTGCCTGCTGGGAGCAACTAGGTGGGCATGGTGCAGAATGGGATTTCCTCTTCCATCAGATTTAAGGAGATTAAATATTAATGGAAATCTATATGAGTCTGGTTTGTGGGCAGAGGCAAAGACTAGTGTAGGCACCCAGGATTCAGATTTTAATCCCAGCATCATGAGCTTTCTGTCACTATGCAGAGTCCTCGGTTGGGAACTCCCTTACATTTTCATTTTAAGTGACCTTCCCCTCTTCCCTCCTTCATGCTGTTCCACTCCTCAATCTAACTACAGGTCCATGTTTGAATACCCACTACTTCAAAGTTACGGTGCAACTCCTGATTGGCACCAGCCTCTCAGCCTCTCAGCTGGTTAGATGGGTGTATTTTGCTTTTCTATCGACTGACCCCCTTTTAGCTATTCACCAAATGCCTGTTCATGTGGCACTCACTCAGCATTTATCATATGGTGACAATAAATGGTGAGTAAGAGTCTGCAAAATGAAGTTTAGTGGCATGTACAAATAACTGAGTGTTGTGTATAAAACTGGAGACTGGACCCAAAGTGGAGGCTCAGAAAATGTATTGACACTTTCCTATTTGGTGGATTACGAACTACAGGGGTGAAGTGCATTCTCCCTGGCTTGTTCACAAGCAGGTGAGCCAACATAAACGCTCACCCCAGACACAGGAGACGTCTCTTATGGAACAAGTGGGAAAAGGGCAAAAAAGAAGGCAGAGGAACATTGGAGTTGAAATTAACAACCTGGCAGACATCCTCTTAGCAGTCCACCCAGGAAGCTGATCAAGCCGGCAGTGGCTGCTATGGACAGGCTTCAGAGTCCTTTGTTCTTTCCCAGAGAACTGTGTAATAATAGATTTTTCACAGGTTGCCCCAAGTACTCACACACAATTCCAATTCCTGGAAAAGGTCAATCATTGACTGCCTGCCACACTTAGGTTACTCAATGGTCACGGGCAGCTGAGGAGTCAGGAGTATCCTCCAGACAATTGCAAAGCAAACCCAATGGACCAAAGATCTTCTCTAATACCTTTTGTTTTGTACAATACCAAACAACTGAGTTCAGAAAAGGGGGGGGGGAATCAGTCTCTTGGAAGAAAACTGAACTTAGGGTGTGTGTGTATGTGTGTATGTGTGTATGTGTGTGTATAAGGGATAAAAATAAAACTGGGGGTTTGAAATGGGTTAGAACTGAATTTTTACGTTCCACACCATGAGAACATTATTGGACAGATCTAAATCAGGCTGAGAACTAGCAAAGAGAGTCAACTGAACTTCACTGAAGGCAGGGACTGGGAGTCACAGTACACTAAAATCTCACTGAATATAGACGGCTCAGTGATCTGGTTCCTTCTCTAAAGCAAGGCCCACCCCGAGGAGGCAAGAGTGACAGGAATTTTGATGAGGTGACAGATGGGTGAGCAGAATGGAAAGGTGCAGCTACTCTGGAAATGGGTCTATGTGCCTGGGTCGGGCAGCATCCATATGTTCGCTTATTCAATCAATACTCAGCACTTATTTCTGGTGGAGACTCTGGAAACAGCAAAGGACAAATCAGTTAGAATCCCTCCCCCACGCTAATTGTAGTTCCAAATTTTAAAAAATTTGTGAACCGATGACCAGCAAATTCTGGAGGTTCCGCATACCTGACAAGAGGAAACCTTTCGAGCCAAGTAAGGTTGCAAAATGAACTTGTCACGCAGTTAATGATATGCAGAGTGGTTACTGAGTTGCACAGTAGCTTCTTCCAAAGAAGTTGTGTCCCATCTGTTCCTTTAATCTTGCTTCTAGTGCTACTACCCGGCTCGGGTTCTCATTACCACTTATTCAAACCAATGCAAAATCCTTCCTCTTGGCCTCTCACCTTTGGTTCAGCTTATACTCAGTACTACCTTAGCCAGGCTCTTAAGTCTACCCTTGGACCAGAATCTATAGTGATTCCTTTTAGAGAAAAGTCTAAATGTCCTATCCCAGCATTCAAAGCCAGCTTTGAATTAACCTGGTCTCTCACTATCCTGCTAAATACACCAGTGATGTGACTGAACACATGCACACGTCAACAGTACAGAGTTGCTAACCACTCCCCACCACATGAATTGTACAAGGCACTGTTAATACTTTGCTTATATAATTTTCCATGCCTGCAATGCTCTTGTCTTATTTCTAGAGTTATTTTTCAAGGACTGAAATCTTCATGAATTATAAAACACATATTTAAAATAAATTTTTTAGACCATCTCATATCGTATCGCTATCATCGACGTAAGTGAAACAACCAATTTATATCCTTCAGCTCAGAACAAAGCTCCTACCCACACTTCTCAGCTAGGGAGGTGACATCACTCCTTTGCCCAAGTAGAAGCTTAGGAAACAGTCATCATAACTCAGGAAGATGACACTACCTACTGATTTGATTTCCAAGATGGCTTTCAACTCAGTCTCCTTCTTCCAAAGAGGACTTCAGAATTTGATAGTCTCAGAAATGCTACTGATTTGTCAGACTATCTTTGGCAAATTATGTAACTATTTGAGCCTCACATCTCTCTTTTCTAAAATACCAACCCCAAGTATTGTGATAGTTTGTGATATAGTGTGTAAATTGCCTAGCATGCTGATTTGGATTAATGGCTACCCAATGACTCTTGGTTCTCTTCTTGCCTTGCTGCTTTAAATGGCACCCACACACAGACTGATACTACATACGTCTTTCCCCTTGACTGGTTGTTATCTTTTCACTTCAAATTCAAACTCTCTTGCCCTCTTCCTTCCTTTCCTCCCCTGTACTCCTTCCCCCTTTTATTTGGTTGTAGACAGGGTTTACTTCTACTAACACCTTTTCTTCTCTACCTTTCAGTTCACAGCTCTGTTTTTAGACATTTATCTGACAAGGGAACCCAAGGACCCAGAAACAGTTTCAAGTTCTTCTCTCTCTTCCTGTATTGGAATTACACTTCTGTGCCCTACGCCAGGGAAACCACATTGAGTCTCACTGTGGCTGGAGGTACTTCCCGGTTCTGTTGATGGTGGTCCATTGGATGGTTGGTTAGCAGTCTCTCTGCTTCTCCTGTACCTCTCATGCTTTTCTGCTCTCCCTGTGCTATATGTGCACACATTGATTCTGACATTATCCCCGCAAGACTAATATCTGCTGTGTACTTGTATAATTGCTAGTACTAGGAGACAAACAAAGACTTATAAAGGTTAAATTTAACCCAAAGCTTGGAATTAAGTTTGGAGCCCACCCAGGAAAATCCAGTCAGTGCTAGGTCACTACAGCTGACCTGTAGACTGATGAGTTAGAAAAAGAGACATTCTTGTTATTATCATCAACTACTGTGGTTTTGACACGCAAGGGGAAAAGCTGACTAGAGTTACTAGTTATCTGAAAGCCTTTGGTATTTATAAATTGTACCTATAGACTCTAACGCAGCCTCTTTCATTCATGAGTCCATTGGCGATTATTGGCATGAGGTTGAGGAAGATGAAGGAAGCTGAGCTAGCCAGCATCATCATCCCTCCAACCTCACTGTGCTCCATCTTTATCCACCATGAATGAAGTCAGTCTTTATTGCATTTGCTTACTACATGAGTTTGATTATTGGGGCACGCCTCCATACCTCTGCTTCCATTATTATTTTCTTTAGCAGAAACCCTTCTTCTACCTGCTCCCATCCAAGACTTCTCTGATGCTACCTTACTCTCAAGTGAGCGTTAATAATATACTAACTTCACTGGATTCCCTGCCCTTGGTGAGGAAACAAGGTCTTAGGAACTTTTGTGGTCTCTAAGGCCTCCATCAGAACATCTCACATGCTGCAGGCATTTGCTAAATGTTTATTGAATTATTTAAATACACACGGAAAAAAAATGACAAGTTCATTTCAGTGGTTTGGTACTCATTTGTGGGAGAACTACATTTTGTACTCTATGCCATAAAAATTAGGGATTTCTTTTTATGACCTGACACTGGGAACATTGAAAACTCCCATGTATCAAGAGCCAACTTTGATATGATAAGTATGCTTACTATCAAATGCAATGGATTTCATCCCATCTTCTTGAGTC